TGATCGCCAACGCGTGCATGATCGATCACGTAAACCGTATGGTTCGCGTGCCCCCAGTATGGAAGTAATGGGTCACGATTACATGAAGAAGACCCTGCCGAACGGTGGACATTCTCTTTTTACTGAAAGCTGATATACAGCGCAGATGTTGTGAAAAATATGCGATCTGATTAAATATACAGAAATAATTTAGAAAAGTATTAGACAAATATTAAAATTCAGATGAATTGCGGAAGCTTTGGGTATCACTATAGTCTGGCTTATCGGCGTCGACATATGCGCACAATTTTTTTGGGCGCGACATTTCTTCGTAATCATCGAGTAAAATTTATACCAATTGACGTATTAGCATTTGATAAAGTTTACTACTTTTCCTCGTTTTATTGCGTTGACGAAGACCGATCGATGCGTTATCGTGATTCGTGACGATTGTTGTCGGTCTCGTGCGATAAAAGTCAGATCAATTTTTCACGAGAGAAAGATAACACTTTATGAGAAAAAAACTGACGAAAATATATATGCATATTACTGTTAGCGTTTTTTTAATAAATTAGAAAAAAATTACACACAGATACAACAGTACATATTTCATTAATGTCATTCATGGGAAGCCATATCGCCAGTGCACAGGAAGCCCCCCTCGATCGATTTTACGGTGATGGGTTCCGTAATCCGGAAGTAGATGCCTTTGACAGGAAATACCCAAAAAGGATTCCGTCAGTTTACCATTTCCTCCAACAACGCTTCAACGGAAATTGTAACATTTCTTAAAATAGCACAATACAGATCGGTTGAGTCGGGATTGCAAAATCGCGGATGTACTTTCATGTGCGGTAGAAAGCGGTGGGTAACGTTATGAAACCGAGTATGAGTTACAGTTATTCGACCTGTGCAAAATATGTAAGCGGCAAATTGTACGAACAAAGAATAATCTCTCTCTTGAGAGAGATCTAATTGCGAACAAGAGAATAATATTAATAAAATAAAACAACTCCAGTTGTAATGTTTTAATTAATGCTCCGAGTTTCTTTTTCTGTGGAACTTTTTCTTTGTGACATTGCGACGTGATTTTTAAAATAAAGATATTCTCCGCGCCAAATTGCGTGAGTTAATTTCGCAACGAAATTTTTGTCCGTTTCTTCAGGTTCGCTGAACGTTCGCATACCTTCGTGTTATTTGCGGATGTTACAATTATCTCGTAAAACTTTTTACGCTTCGACGTGTTACGGGCGATCGCCATCGCGGCCGTTTCTCACAAAAGAAAATGCAACCGAGGACGGTTGCTTCACGCAACATAAATTTTACGCGTGGAACTCTCTTTCTCTCTGCCGCGTCTTTGCAGGTGTGTGTCTCGCGAAAGTTTCGCACAAAAGTTGCGCGCCGCTTGTGCATATCGACTTTCGAACTGTGCGTTAATATGTCACACGCCGACGCAATGTGAGGAGTAACGAAATTGAATTCACGCGCGACTCAATATCACAGTAATTACACACATGCTGAGCAAATCGCTTTGTACACACGCGCTTTCTCTACAAAATTTCTATGTGTAATAATTTATAAAATTAATTGACTTTAATTCAGGTTGTAATTTAAAATAGATTGTTGTTAGTTTCAAAAAAACAACTTTAAAAAAACGCAATTCATTTTTTCAAGTAATTATTATACGTGTGTTTGATTTTATAGATATTTTTTATATAATATAAAGTAAAAAACATAATAAATAAATGATGGAAAAATAGAAAAACATAATAGAAAAATGAAAAAAATAGAGAAGACACACGACATAATGAAGCACGCAACATGGGGGTACAATATAATAACGTTATCTGGTACATATTTTCCTTAGTAAATTTCACTGATGGATTGCGATCGGTACATGGCCAGTATATAAAACGTTGTTATGAATTTACATATTGCAGATATGCAGGTCATTATCTATGCAACGAGTCCTCCTCCAATTCTGCTCGTTAATTCAATTCGCTCTCACACTAAGCGAATAGCGTAGGCGCGTACTGACGAACGGACAACACAAACGTAACTTACACGTAAAGCGACATGTGTGATAAAAACGTACGGAGATGATCATGCGATACTTGCGTTTATTCATGAACACTTCCCGCCCAACAATCTCGATATTAATGTTCTTGTCACGGGTTCCTTCAGTTTTCCCATCAAAACCTTTCGAGAGAATTTATTCATCAGAAGCGCCAATCCCTCTCTCTGTCTCTCTCTCTCTCTCTCTCTAAATCATGTGAGCAAAGCACGGGAGCGGAATTTTATGTAAATCTTTCTTTTGTCCAGTTGTCTCGTCTCGCTGTCACGCTTCGCGTAAAATCGCCACGAAGCGGAGCAAATCGACATGCATTATTTATTCGTTGGGGGTGTCCTATGGGAAAAACTGCGCGCGCGCACGCGGTGAATAGAAATGCTCGTTCGATATAGATTTGCGTGGGAATTTCTATATGTCACGCGTACCAATATATATATTACCGAAGTAACGACCAGATGTTAATTGAATCACTTCCTACTTCTCATAGAAATCGTGGCTCGATTCTGTGTGCTTGCACACTTGTGTTTTTATCAGACACGAAAATAGTATATTTTGCAATATATACTTTTAAATTCAAATACGTATCTAATAGATTCCTGGGTAAAAAAAAGAAACTATAAAAAAAATATCTCTTCATTAACTTGAGGAGAACGTACTCTTCGGAAGACTGTGACTGAATTATTTCTAATCCAGTATTCTACTGAAAATAATTAAAAGAATCGCTTCACGTACATTATGTAAATATAACGCAACTAAATATTTTAAACATATATTTGTTATAAATGTATTTATTTTTGTAAAATGTGTTTCTAATATTATATTTATCATTATTTAAATATGGTATAACTTAACAAATATCTATCGGGTTATTACTAACAAAGGATTAAAGCGATCGACAAAAATTTGTAGGCCAGTGTAATTACTTCAATCAGCGTTACAGCTTACCGATAAAGTACTTACATTACTGATAAAGTACTCGTGGCGAACAAAACACTCGACATATAACCGTCTGGTCATTGTTGTTGCACCTTTCGCTGTGTATTGTGGGTAACCACTCGCACGTGAAAAGTCCGAAGATCTAAGAAGAGATCGACGCAAACAACCCTTTAAACACGGCAGATGGTCGATTGAACAAAATCGATCTCCGACTTGATTCATCGACATCTCGTTGTGACACCGCGGGTGTGTCCCCTGGTCGTTCTCTCAATGTTATTTCTAACACTTCTCCGATAACGATCAATTCTCTCAGATAAACTTTCGAAGGGTTTCGTGGCGCAGCAGATGTTCCCGTCTAACGCGTTTGCAATATTGCGATTCTGTGTTTACATCATCCCGTGGCGTGTATTTTTCGATAAATTTCAGATGGGGCTCGAATGGTTCCCCATAGCTCAATCGCCGACTGAGCGCAATCTAACTAGAGAAAAAAAAAAAAGAAAAAATTACCCGATAATTTCGCTAGGCGAAGATTGTTCGATAAAACTCGAAGGGTTTCGTGGAACGAGCAGATGCGTACGAAAATTCGAAACGACATATCCTATTATTTTTTGTTTATTATTTAACGCGCTTGTGTGTGTAAGCGCGTGTATCATCATCGATATCTAAACTTAAATTTACGAGACAAGAAAATTGTTTCATGAAACACATCCCTCCATGCGCCGCAAATCAGAAAAAATATATAAAAAATACACTCGAATCTAATTGAAGCCAAGCCAATATTGGCTCTGAAAGAGCAACAGACAGATTGACGCGTATGGAAAAGTCACGCAAAACCGCGAATTAGGCAGCTGAAAGAATAATGGCGTTGTGAAACGTAGAGCGGGTCCTAATGCGCGATTAATGACCATGGAGAGTGGTGCTGCCGTGCTGCCATGACAGGGCTACTGCGCGCCTTTGTCCACTTCTACACGTGCTGCATGTCAAGATAATAATTGAAAACCGCAACCACTCGCGGGTCACTGAAATCGGAAAAGGGGTGGCGTAGGGTAAAGGAGAGGTTTTATTTCACCGGTCTCGATTGCAACGCGCACGAGTCCCTAACAAAGGAGATAATGATACAGCAGAAATGAGAAACCGGACAATAGTGTCCGGTCGTGCGGCGGCGGTACAGCGGAAAGGAGTGCGTTCGTGCGTGATTCGTTAATTGTTCACGTACGTGATTGTGCGTTATTCGGAGTTACAAACGTGCGTCGTTGTAATAACGTACGGAGCAATTAAAAATAATATTCGTTTTCACGAGCTCTGATTGCACGCAAATGTGATTTGACCGCTCTGAACAATTTATTGCTGTACCTTGAGCAAAAAGAGATGATGCGTTTTGTATACACAAAAAATAACTTCTGAAAACACGCTATTTTAAAGAATTTGAAGAAGGGCAGGGAACACAGGCGCCAGACACAAAATATTCTGTGACGGGTTCAACGTTTAAAAAGATCGTCTTAAGTTTGTCTTCAAATGGTCCGTAACCAATGAGACGGTCGACACTGCATCTTAAGATAAACTCAGAAATCCTTAAATGTGAACTATGAATACCGGTCTGAAATTTATCGTCTAGGTCCTAATTGCAGAAGAACTTAGAAGCATGGCATACAGATTGGTTTCGAAGGAAAAATATACCAGGATCAGAGAGATATCTTATCTTGTCGTCTGGCTGAAAACGCGATGATAATGCGTGCTTTAATCGAGGTAGGGATACTGAAATACGTGACTTTGTGTGTGTCTATATTAACCACTGTCGTTATTCGACTGTGAATAATCGTTTTCTATCCTCGAAACGAACAGATAAATTAACTGCTATTGCTTTACGTAATTGACAACTATTCTAATAATTTCGGTCACAACGAGTCTCGTATCATTATTTTTTTTTTAAAGACTTTCTATTAGACAACTATTATTTACTTGTCGCACATTTGCGTGTATAAATATATATGACAATAATTGTGATTAATTATAATAAATAGCAGTGTATACATGCGGTGTACTTTTATGAACGTGATCTTCGAAATATTGAAGCATGACTCGACGATATGTGATATTCTTGATTGGAGCAGTGGTCTTGCTAGTCGCAATTATAGTTTGGTTGATCTACAGTTAGGTAACTCCAATTTTATCTTTCTGACGCGCAATGTATTTCTATGTTGTAATAAAGGATAAATCCTCAATAGCAAAAAACTATCTATAATTTAGATTTGTCATAAAAAAATATTTTTTATATTTTATAAAATTTTTGTTATAACCTATGCAAAGTTAGAAAAGTAGAGTAAAAATGATTAAGCAGAATAATTTATTCTTTACTCTTTTCTTGATTGTGTCACGAGAAATCTTTCGATTACTTGTCTCAATTAAATAATTAATATAATTTTATATGTGTGTGCAAATATCGATGAACTGTGTATCCTGACAGTTGCGTGCACACCCGAGGATGTCACATTTCGGTACGGAGATACATGTACATAAGATCTGCGAAGGAAACTGAAATCAACAATGCAACAGTTTCAGTTTCAAATACGGAGGAGTCAACAACACCTATACCTACGTGGTCGGCCACGACGACAGAGTATACAACCACTAGTACCGAATTCACAAAAACAACAACGACAAAAGCGAGTACAACAAATGAAACAACGACATCATCAATCATAACATTGTCAACATCTGTTTCGGAGTCAACTTTGTCGTCTGAAACAACAAGAATTACAACACCCACAACAAGGTTCAACACAAGTACTTCAGTGTCTAAACCAAAATCTACAACAAAAATTGTAACAAATACTACAATGACTGCAACAACGACGTCATTTACAATGCCAAAAGTTACAACGAGCACGAAACAACCGTCGACTACCGAATGCGAGAGTACATCTTCAAATACAACCATAAAAATACCAACAACTACGCCAATTGTGACTACTGAAGATTCTACAAGATCAACACACTCAGACATAGTGAATTGTTCGAAAGAGAGCAATTTTGATTACGTAGTCAGGGATGCCGAAACTAAAACAGCGTGCATTCTGACTAGTATGTCAATTCGAATAAATTTGCAATACGTAATGGAAAATTATCAGGTAAAATATATAATTATAATTTTCAAAAAAACGTACGTTACGTCGCATGATTATAAAAAAACAAAAACTGTAAAAAAAAAGTACGCGAAAAATTCTTGGTTTTTTACAATCGATTTTATGGAAAGCACAGCAATTTTACACAGCAAATATATTTTTTTAAGTAAATATGTATCATTTTTTGTAGACAAACAGAACAACGTTGATAGTTCCGAGAAGCGCAAAAACAACAGGCCAATGTGGTGAAAAGATCGACAATATGACACTAAGTTGGAAAGAATCTGTTAAAACAGACAATGACAACAAGGAAAATGTAATCGTTTTTTATTACGGTCGCGATGCCAGATTCTTTCTTGATTTTATTTCTATCGACGTGCACTTAGACAGTCAAAATTTTCCGTCTGCAAAACGTACGTGTTGAATTGTATATTAAATTAATGCAACAAACATTATATATATATATAATACATGACACATTTGTTATTTCCTCAGTTACTTGTATGTTACTTCAAGTTTTCAATTTTATTTGAACACATGTTGTAACAGAGATTTTTCTTTAACATTTGACAGAGAAAAGGATAAGTGCGAACACGACGGTCAAACATCTGCAGCTATTTTCCACTTTGGTAAAAGACGGTGTGTTTGTATGCAAAGTTAACACTATCATAAACATCGGGAACCAGATAGACGTTGTTATCTCTGATGTTCGCTTGATTGCGTTTAATCAATGTAGCAGGAATTGCCGGAGAACAGGTGTGTGATGACAAGATTTTTATATAATTGTTACTAAATATTTTCTATATGTAATAAACAACACCATATCATTTTTAAATTATATATTCCGAATGTAATAAATTTGTTTTGCAGAAAATAACTGTGTCACTGATGTAACCAGCGTACTGATCGGTGCAGTAGTTATTGGTATTGATCTTCTTCTGATACTAGTCGTTTCCTTTCTAACATGGCGCAAGAAAAACATCCGATTTTATGCTATCTGAAGATTCTGTCAGATAGTTTTTCGTGATCAAACGAAGTTAAGTTAAAAGACCTGGCGTATGCAAACTCTAAAAACTTCGCAGAGAGCGAATCAATAATAAGCATTGCAAAATCGCATTCTATTACATTGTTGTGTACAAAGCATCTCTATAATAACAGACAATTTTACCGATCTTATTCAATAAAAAATATACAACAAATATATAAACGTGTACTAAAGAACGCATTTGAATAATCAGAACATTGATCTGCGAATTGCATTGACAGTTGTCGATTTCTTCACGCAATGAAGAAATAAAGGCTGCATATGTCGCTGGGAAACAACATTCTTTAATTAACTAGTTTAACAAATAGTTCGAGGTTTTGATCTCCTTCCCCTCCTCCCGTGTATCCGTCACGGTTACGCCCACCCCAATTATCTCGTTACTTGGTAAATTGTAACATTTACAAGACCATCTGCGCAATCGTGTGAACATCAATCGGCCAGGACGCGTTCTGTGAAGCGTACCCTTCGCACATATTGAATTCAATTAAGACCGATATTAGTACATTAATGCGCGTTTTGTCAATGTCAAATATTACGTACATCATTATTTACGTTATTTATACGTAACGTAAAAAATTCTCTCAATATGTTCTTGTAACAACAAAAAATTGTTGCTCGCGGTAGATAAATTTATTTCCTCAACGACACGTACGAGACCGGAAAACGATCGTATTTCATACCGATTCCGTCGGGAAAAAAGTATCAAACGTTACACAGGCCACTCCCTTCCGTTTAACACCTGGATATCATATCGTTCGCAGCAGATGCAGCAGCAAAATTCATGATTATCCGTGTTAATTGGTCGGCAGGAATGTTCGCTATCATGTCAAGGGAAAGGAGGGCGCAATCGTTTTTATTTCCGTGAGAACTAAGGGAAGTACACTGGAAAACAAATAAGACTGCGTGCGCGCGCGAGTCCCGACGCGATGATGTAATATCTAATCAAAAACGTGCTTGTGTGCTGAGAATACAATAGAAATAGAACAGATATTGTGATAGTGCCCATTGATCTGTTTTCAAGCGCAGGATGTTTCCTGTCATATTTTTCCGTACTTTTCCGGTCGATATTTTTCTTTGACATCAATTGACTTGGCGCGTCTTTCAAATTATTCTGAATTTATTCCTACCTGTATGCGGCAAAAGAAGCGTCAGCTGTTTCTATGGTACCGCGTCCCTTTAAAGTTTAAAGATCTTGCGAAGCCTATTATGTACCGTCTCGTTCAAACTGAAGTTCTTTCACGACATCGCGCAAATGGTGGAGAGCTATGGACAATGTCCCGTGTGCATCATGTATTTCTTTCCAGTTTCAAAGAAAAATGAAAGAAAAGATCTGGCAGGAACTCTGTTGCAAAATGACGAGTAGTAGTTTTTATTGTATCGATTGCGTGCACGCAACTATCTATTCTGTAGTCCAAAAGATATTGTTCGTGTACAATGATATCGCGATTTACGAATTGCAATTGTTTCGAGCGACAATCTCCGTCGCTTGTAAAATGACTAATGTATCTAGTAAAAAGGAAATTGAAGTATAAAATTCAATATGTAATTTATTTTCATTTTGTTCTCTTTAACTGAATTTTTATAAGTAATATCTGATCGAATACTTATTGTTTGCCTGCGGCTGATCTGTTCGAATAAGAATTCTAAAATCAATAAATTTCGAGGATCTGAGAAACCGAGCACGCGTGCCAGGAGAACCGGCCACGTGGCTACATCTCTCCCTTCCGAGAAATAATTTGTGCCGAACTAGCAGCTTGACTCTCGGTCCTATTCTCCGATTACTTTCGGAAAGTGAAACGTTTCGTTGTCTTTTAATAGACGTTGACACGATCTGTTTTTACGTGCTCGGGATTGTCATTTTTTAAATTTATTTTAAAATACAGAAAAAACACATGTGAACAATAGATCATATTTAAGAAATTTGAACGTCCTTCCTCGCAGCAGAACGTCTCACTATCTCCGTTAAATCCGGAAAGCTCAAAAGTGTTGCTGCTGATAAACAATTCTTGCAAACTATGTCCACATTTATTTTTATGTGTCTTAGTATTGTAAAAAAAATAAGGATCTTTTCTACGTTACTTGTTCCCGTTGCGTAAGAATAAACACCTGTCACGCCTCAGTTGTTGTCACGCAACGCGACCGTATTCCAAGCGACTACGTCGGACAAGTCAATCTGCCCGTTTCGTGAGCAAAGATAAAAGAGGACCAAAAAAAAAAAAAAAAAGGATCGAACAGATATGCCAAACAGAGGTTCCGGAGTTGCTCCGGAAGACTCCTCTCTTCTCTTCTCTCTCGTTCTCTCACAAGAGTTACGGCAGCCACGAGACGCGTTGTGAGTATGAGGGCGCAGATGGGATTGTGTTTAATGAAGTTTGGCCCGAGTTGCACCTGCCACTTTCGAAGCATCTCGGACCAACGGCCGTTACACCGCCTCGAGCATCCGTCGAGAATTGGCGGGAATCGCGTTCCCAGGAGTCTGCGAGACTTATGCGTCTGACACAACGACTGTTCCGAGTTTCCTTGTGCCGAGTTTGCGACCAATCGCGCATACACGTTTGCAATTGCTGCAGTTGAATGCGGCAACGCAACGTGATCGAAAAATTTGCAAGAGATAACGTTTGCGTCTTCATCGTCGTGTAAATATGATGTTATCATCGTAATTATCATCGTAATGTAACAAAAAAATGCGAATGCCTTGAGTTCTGTACCAATTTTATATTTTTTCAAAACTTGTTCTCTCTTTCTCTCTTTTTGTCTCTTTCTTATTTTTGTATCAAAATAATCTCACAATTAATGTCCGATAGAAGCCGCAAAAGTGCCCGGAAGATCGGATTACTTTGTACCCGCGCACGACAAGATGGTCCCCTCTCTTTCTCTCACACTCCCCACAATTTTTTTTTCTCCCTCGAGAGGACGTGTCTTCCTGTTCCTGCTTCGACCGTATAGAAATACGAGAACCGAGTTACGCCAAAATGACGGAGAGGACAGAGATCGTTCGTGACAGCGATTTAATTATTCCCGACATCTGTCGCGCATCGGAACGTTGATCTTTCTGCGGATCTCTTCCTCTCCTTTACATTCACATCTTTTGTTTTTAAAAATAAAAAAAAAAAAAACCCAAACATCAAATTATTATTCTCTAAATTCTTTTCGTACGCGTTTTTTGTTTACAAGTTTCGCTTTTGGTGAGTTACTTTGTAATACACTTCATCGCACACACGGATTTCTGGGTTTTAAAGACGATAGCGTGTTTGAGGCCTGCAATCCATCAAGTCGTGTGACCTCCTGCTTCTGTTTGTGATTTAATTAACAACAGCATCTGGCGATCCTGACTGCGCTCTGCTCAGCAAGATCCTGTTTCCCTCACGAACTTCGACTAGGAAACATGACTACTTCCCATAATCAGATTACTAAATCCTTGACAAAAAGCAATCTCACATTTTTTGCAAGACAGAAATGTAAAATTCATACTTTTGAAGAAATTACGTTGTCAAATTCAAATAACAAGTCATCAATAAATATACAAATTTTTATTCCTCTTTCTTTTTTTCTATCGCAAAAATTATAAAAAAAAAAAACATCTACTGCCGTTATATGTTCCATTGTCTTCGCTATATGTGCTGTTGAACAGCTCATTGAAAGCGCGTAGAATCAACGTACAGGACAGTGGGATCTTTAAATATACACGACCGGAGCTCTTCTTTTTCTGAACGAAACAGCTGTTCCACCCCCTCTATAGCGGGGGCAGCTAGTCTCGGCAGATTTGCTAGCATTCAGCCTATCTGAACGAACTATCGCGGAGGTGGAAGCTAAGGTCGACGGTAAATGCAATGTAGGTAGGAAGGTACCGGCAGCTGGATCTCGACAGAGATTCGTAAAGCACAGCGTCACGCCTTCCTCCCGCATTGTTCGGATTTCAACCATACGTTTTTGCTCTCTTTATGCTTTACCGCAAACAAATCTGGCTTTCCGAAGCTCCTTACATCTCCTCCGATTGAAATGAGATTTTTCTAAAATGCGCGCAATTATCATTCACATCTGTTAAAAAACAAAACCAACAATATTAGAACGCTATGAAGAAAGTAAAGTTCTTGTCGCGCACGCGTTTTTCAATACGTATGTTATTACTCGTCAAACTACTTTTTCTCGATCGGATGATAAAAAAAAATATAGACATAAATGTTAAACTTCGCGCGGGAAGAAGCTATAGAGGAACGTTCGTTAATCACCGGAGAAAAACGATTGATTATCAGTAATCTGACGTTCGTAAAACAAAACTCGCGCAAATTACAAATCGCGAAGATGTAAATACCCACGGTCTATGTGCCATAAGAGATCTAAATTGACTAAAATTACGACGCTGCTGACCTTGAGGCGTCGTCCGACGCGAAACGGTGTCACCGTATCTTCGCTCGCTCCGGAAAGTGGTTAATTTCTGACGTGCAATTTTTCCACGTCCTCCGCCGGACAAGTGGTAAAGACGCTGCGTCGCGTCGAAGAAGCGGAGAGAAAAATAAAAATAAAAAAAAAAAAAAAAAATAAAAAAAAAAAGAAATGCTGCACGCACAGAGTGCAAAGTATAGTAGAGCAACATCCTGTGTTAAACGCTTCCTCCGCTCCGGTGCACGCACGATTTCTGCGCCGTGGGTAAACTGGCTCAATTACCGGCGATCGTCTTCCTCTGATATATACGGTGACTGCCAACGTATCGGTTAACCGATTTTATAAATAACAAATAAAAACAACAAAGACTTATCAGGTGCAAATTAAAACGTCAAATTAATTAGATCTGATGAAGATATCAAGCTGAGATACGGTTTCCTTTATTGATTCCTTTGCGCGAAAATTGTGTCACATAATTAATAGACTCGCGCTAATACACGCGTGTGAAGTGATATATTACAATATCAAGAGTCACTACCGTGAATTATACGCAAAATTCAGGCATTCGGGAAGAAAAGAAATTTTTATTCCGCAATTTTTCAAATAATGACCGACCCTTCTTTTTAGTCTCAACCGATTTCTAGTCTCAGTCGATTGAAGAAATGAAAAATGAAAAAATGAAGTATTTTTGCACTTTTTTTGGATCCTTTATTCGAAGATTTTTTAAGATAAAGCAACACGCCGCAAAGAACTGTAGATGGAATCTTGCCGAAGCACTAAATTGAATAAATTTTCTTAAATACGAATAAAATAATCGAGATGAGAATCTTTCTTTTGCGAATTTAGTCACGTAACGCGCGCCTCGACGGTTGTTTACAACACGTGAACGGAATCACAAAATTTCCACAAAACATCTGCATCCCAGCGGCAGCTGCTTTTTCGTCTCTATCCCTTTCAATACTCCCCGATCTATGATGTCTTAGATGTCTTAGGAGATATTTGACATATATCGTACAAAACAACTTCCGTAATACTGTATTTCTTTTTTCGACAGCGAAGGAAATCCGTCAAGAAATCCTGTGAGACAAAACGTTATGTTCCTCGAAACTTGTGTCTACGTGTGCGTAATTTAAGAGAGCGCCTTAGATAAAACCGAACTTGAACCCGATGCATCGGGCGTCTTGTTACGAGCAGATGACCCAACACACTGTCCGAATATATCGAGTTTCCGCGCAAAACTGCGGTAACAACACGAGGAGACCCACGCGACCCGCCTCTTCTGTTTGTTTTCGCTATCTTACGTAGACGCGCGCGTTGGAAAAGGTGACGTTGTTTCCTCCGCACACGGTGCCACGGATACACCCTGTGCAAAGTGCAGGTGATTGCACACGTGAGATCTATTGTCCAGCTTCTATCTTCTCAAAGTCGCCGTTTCCCACACGATTTTCCGCCCTACACGTGCTGCACGTGTTCTATTATACGAAATAGTTCGGCCGAGACTTTTGTTGGTCGACGCTTGATGGACGAATTAACTCAACTCATGTGGCGGAGAAAACGTTTTTCTTTCCGATAGGAAGAAGTTTCATGTAAAATGTGCAATCAGACGCGTCGTGTTCCCGCACCGTAGAGACGGTTGAACACGCGGTTGGCAACAATCACGGCCAACAGCTGACCGACCATCAGTCGACACGCGGTGCGCTTCCGTTAATTTCACCGCACGAAGAAGAAAGCCGCGCGGCGAAACGCATCGGTGATTCCGCAGAATTTTCGAAACCCGCTCTCCTCCCGAGCGGGACACGGAATTTGCGAAAGAGCGAAATAGAAGGATTCAAAACGTTTCGTTCTTTTATATTTGGCACATATGCTGCCAGGTGCTCGCGCCGATGGCCAAAGGGTAGAGTTTCGAATTTTCTTACCTTATTCTTCGCGACTCCTTCGTCGCTTTCGTTCGACGTTTCTCACTCTTCTTCTTCCTCCAAGGCGGTGTCAGCTGTCGGATCATTTTTTCACGAAGTGGTTTTCCTCTGCGTAGCGAGAGACCAAACGTGCCTGCGAGAACATCCAAAAGCCGAACGTTAACATAAGCTTATTGTATGCAAGTATCTTAATTCACAGTCTTTACAAGAAATATATGTGGTACTTCTTGTATTTATTTATTTATTTATACGAGAAAAATATATAACGTTCTAAAACGCAAGAATTAGACTTTTATGATATCAGCATTGAAAATGTTATTGGTTTTGAGAAAGATAGCGATCTAATAATTATGAACGTGTAAACCTGAGCGGTAATTATTGAAGTAAGATTCCTTCTTTTTTATTGAATATATTAACTCGTTAATATATTCAATATGTGCGACGGGGATATAGGAAGGAATTGACTGGACGATAACATCTAACGTTCGACATTTTTCAAGACCGTTCCGCGTACCATCACGAACGTACTCTCTCCATTATGCCGTTCATAGCCGTGAAAAATGATCGGGCCGGTAATCGTCTTCGGTACGAGTTAAAGTCGCGGTATTAACTACATCCTGGCGCGGAACCCCTGCAGATCGGTTTCTCCCTAATTTTTGACGATGCGCTGACGTCACGGGTGCACCCGGGGACCCCGTGTGTTCCGGTCTGCTTGACCAGGACCGGAAGTGGCGGGCCGATGGGGAGCGCGCACTCGAAACTCAAAATCCCCCACGAAATATATATCCCGATGTTCCCGTGTTTAAACGAAGAGGAAGTCGGCATTTCCTCGGAGATCCAACGCGGCTGCGAAACGAAAGAGAGAGAAACAATCCTCGCTCCGGAGAACAACGCGTTGACACAGATTCGTGATGTGAGTTCATACGTTCGAGCGATTTTGAAGGAGAGAAAAAAAGAGCGCGCTTGACAAATACACAAATTCAGATTCAAATTCCCATGAAGAATCATTTCACGTACCGAACGGATAATAGTCAACAATCTCGAGCGAGCCGCTGCAAGATTACGCGGGGAAATAATCACGGGGGCAAAGCGCATAATAATCAGCAATAATAACCGAACGACCGTCTCCCGTGGAGTATTACGAGAAAAAATCCCGAGAAGCAATCACAAACTTAATAGTCGTTACGGGCGCTGGCCACCGATGGTCATGGTGTGTTCACCTGTCCGTGCGATGCGCGCGTGTATTACAACATGCACGCATACACGCATTTTGCGTCGCGCCGCAACAGCAGCGCGCGCCCGTGCTTTTCTGTAACGGTCAAATTTACCCCCGTCCGTCGTTCGGCCGGTCGTGATATAGCAAACCGTGACTGTGCGTTGCACAGTCCACCCGGTATCGTGTGAGATGCTTATAATTGCATGTCTCGAATCTTACGGCGGTCAGCGTCACGCTTTATTTCGTGTACGTACGTGCACACAGTGGCGCATTTATGTTCCCGCCGCCCTCGGGCGTTCTCTATCTGCATATCGCCTCCGTCTCGCCCACTCGGACCTTGTCCGTAAATGGCACGTCACTTAAGAAGGACTTTATATGCTTAACTGTGTTAACGGCTCCATTTTTCCGGAGCACTCAAATCTCAAAAAAGTAAAAGTAATATTTCAATCGTTATTAGAAATTTTTGATAATCGTGTGTAGGTTCGTGAAATAATATCAAATGTAGTTTATTTGATATAATATATGTGTAATTTTATACAATACGATGTTTTACTCCTTAATTAAAAAAATTTTTTTAATCGTTTCCTTAAAATTTTTTTGAGTTTTTTTCAAGCAGCTTCAAAAAAGCGCAGAGCAAACATTTTTCGACTGCAATTTATAGTCGACGATTGCATTCACGGCAATTTTGTGACGGTAGACAATTTTTGAGAAGTTTTTGCTCGAAGAGAATCAAGGATGAGAACTGCAAGTTGATGGATGAGACGGCCAAGTTATAAACTACGCTTTCAATGTTCCGTATAAAAACGCGTCTTTATTAGCGTCGAGCTGTATATTAAATTGTTATATAATAGTCTCGGGTTCGTCGAAAAAAAAGTGCAAAAGCAAAAGACCTCTTGGAAAAAATAACGATTAAGACTTAATACAGTCGATATAAAAGCGAAGCACCAGAGAAATTCGGCGACGTGCAAAGATGCAAACGAGAAACGAAGAAATATCGATCTTATGAATACTAAGTAGGTGTGTAATATGTGATGCATTCTTTATTGTCACACGGCGCTAAACATATATGAAAACCGATGCAATTGCGATCAAGACTTGTTTATCAAGACACCGAAAATTCTCTGCGTAGTTCGTGAAGGCGATTCGAAGGGCGATTTTCTGCCTGAAACTTGCTTCCACTTGGTCTCTCCCTCTCGTTCTCTGGCTGCTTCACCTGCTCGGACGACCGTTTTTTCTTCTTGCTGCGGAGAACGTTCGACTTCCCGCAAAAATATTCCGGGCAGTCGTGCTCCACGACAATTGAACAAACTGTCCCGCTCAATCTCTCATTGGTGCGACTAAAATTATTCTCTTTCACAAACTTTCATCGAAAACATTTCCTGAGTTTGTTCATCATCGTGTCACAAAACTGTGACGTCTACACACACACACATCCTTAGATTAGATAATTAGATAAAATAACCAAGCGCGTATGTACGCATCTAACACTTGTGAATATATATTTTTTGTCGTCTTAAAATTTATTTATAAGAACTAACTTTTTGAAAAAATAGAAATAGTGACATGTAGTCATTTCTATATGAAAAGAAGAATAAAAAGATCTCCTGCGCTAGGCTAATCGGAGGCGCTTGATCTAGAGACTAGAGATAGGAGGGGAAAGATCGTTTCAAATCTCTTCGCGGCACGCTCGAACCGCGAGCGATCGTGATCGCTCTATACATCGCACTACTTAAAAAAAAAAAGACAAATAGCGCGATGTGCGCACGCTTCTACGGTATAAACGCGCTCTTCCCTACCTTGAAGTTTGAAAGATCGCTTAGCATAATCCGTTGGACGGTTTCAAGCGCGAAGATGCGATGGTGAGGGTACACGTGGATAGCGCGCGAAAGAGTAAGAGACGGAGCGAGCGGACGCTTTGGTGAGCACGACGAGGACACGGTTAAAGAAAACTCGCGCCATTTTTACTGCGCAACTCGTACGGCGCACCAATCAGATTTGAATTCGAACAGTCAGGAGAAGGGACCTCGTGGTTGCGTTACAAACCGACCTGAGCTGGTCGTCTCTGCCGTCTCCGATGATCTCGTCAGAACGAGTCTAACCGTGGCACAGTGAGGATCAGGTTCTTGCTGATCGAAACAACGTCTGCGTACGACGTGTCCACGCAGGGCGTCTACGAAATTAACCGCGCCGCGGTTTCAAAGAGAGAAACGTCACAGAAAAGTCAAACCGCTCGACGGGACTCTTATTGTCAACGACTCTGCTGCTCTTCTGAAACACGTACGAATAAAAAATCGAGAACAATCAGCGATCGTGGCGCGACATCGGCCACGACGAAATTACGACCACGGCGCGCGAAGACTGAAGACGGAAATTCGCCAGGAATTCGAATTGAATTATAAGAATCGGCAAACTCTGCAAGCTCTGTAAATTTTAAAGAAGAGAGTCTCGAAATGCTGGCAACTTCATTCCGTTACGAGGTGAATTATCACACTACGCTGTTGCCCATGACGTCGCAAGTACCACGTTGCCTGTTCGGCAAGCCGAACCCACGGGACACCATCGAGATGCTCCAGGAGGCGTTGGACGCGGAGAGGAGCAGGTTCGCCAAGAGATGGGGAGTGAATCCCCTTTCCGAGGACAAAGAGAATAATTATCAGAGACGGAACAAGGAGCGGATCGAGCTGTCGCCCAACAAAAAGCGCAGTAATCCGTATTCAAGGCAAACCAACATTCACGGTGAGCAACATTTTTTTCTCTTTCGCAAAATATCAACATCGGTCTTGATGGTTTATTGACGAGCGCGCGGCGGCAATTACACGACGAGGCGCCGCATAAATGCCGCCAATAATCGACGCATGCGGGAATATGCATGAGAGTACGCGTGCATGAATCACGCGACACATCCCGATTCGATATCTCCTTAACCGGACAAAAAATGCAGAAATCTGTTCGAAATGCACGCGTCGATCGCGCCTAAAAGAATATCGCGCTTTTCGCGATTCTCTCGCATTTCTTGGCTTTAACGTGCATAGCTACGCTAAAAATATCTTCCACACATATAATTCAATATGGCATACCGCTAATGTTTCTTCAAGGTGGCCGACTAAAATATGCGCTACGTGGTATTAATAAATAAATTTTGTGTTTCTTCTTAAATTTGCGCGCGCTTCGTGTAAACGCGCCGTTGAAGAAAGTTAGATTCGATGTTAAAAGCAACTCGTTGCTATTTTAACTAGCAAATGCGATTTGTGGCCTGTGAATTAAACGAGATAAGAGTAGCAACGACTTGGTTGCCACTTTCCGCTGCGCCGTGTCGAACATGCCGCGCCTTTTTGGCGGGAAAGTCGGGCGCGCAGGCGCGGCCCGGTCGCGTGGCACCGACCTGTTTTCTTATTCTAAGCCCGTCGTCTCTTCCGTCTTCCCTCTTCTTCTATGGCCATCCCTCGACTGAGTACTCCCGGCTACTGGTCTTACGCGCGCTCCTTTGGAGAAACAGCTCCTTCTATCCCATCGAGCTATCATTTCTTACGCCCGAAGCACGCGTCGTAAACGAGTCCCATTGCGACGATCATCCAGGTGGTCCAAATTCGAGGATTTATATATGAATTTATTACTTTTTTTTTTTTTTTTATTAAGCTACTTTATAAAATAAAGATAAGTCACGAATAGTCTCTACAAAATGTCGTCAGGTGTTAAATTTATCTTCTATTTTGTCGTAAAAAAATCAAATTCTTCCCGATTAAATTTAATTAATTAATTGCAAGAACAATTTGACATTTGCTTGTTTATTCGGAAAATTTAACTCGCGACGCGATTTGATTTTTGATGTGTGACTTCTACGGACTCTAGATTTCGGGAAAAAGTACATCAGCTGGCTCGTAACAACCGAAAATATCTACCAGAAAAATATTTGCGTTATCAGTAAGAGAGATAAGTAGAGTAGTCTCGCGCGTGATTGCGTGAGAAACTTGGTTGGGTCGGTGATCGGTTTAACCGCGGGATGCAGTTGGGAAAGGATTGTGTCGTCGCTCGAAAGTGAATCACGTCTGTGAGTCATGCATCTAAGGCAATAGACGTGAAATACCTGCGGGAGAGAGGATTCCGACGTGAGTCATCGCGAAGAGTCCTAATTCCCCAAGGAGTATAAAAAAGAGCTCGCATTCCTTGGTTTCTTCGAGCACGGTGTATTAACTACGCATAGAGCGCGTTTTTTTTGTCGCGCCGATTCTCATTGTGTGCGCCATGGAAACAACGTTCTCTCGACCGAAGCGCCGCACTTTTGCATGTCTCCGCATGCGAGATGAAAACAAATACACATGTGTAAGACAGTTGGGGGAAGATCGTATTGAAGAATTTTTCATTTAAGTAATATGCATGTGATAGCTGTACTTGCGCCGTTTTGAGATATACAGTAGATATATAAGTGTAGATATATATATATATATACAAATAAATATATAAGTGGAGGAATTGATAAGCAATGTGATATTACCGTCGCTTTATTTATGCGTCGTTTGTTTTCAAATATTTCAACCGTCCCTCGTAAATGATTTGCGCAAACCGTACCGTCGTCGGTACGTTGAAAAAACACGTGTGCGCGATAATCACCGTACAAGGTTGCATTCGTTTTCTCTTAAACCCTCGAACGCTCAGATCCTGTGCCTGTTTGCACTGATAATCCTGCAAACACAGTGTGATTCCTTGGGTTGGAAACACCGAGAGACACCGGGAGACCCTCGAAAATTCAACGGAGCGGGACGGCGCAACCAACTCTTTTTCCACCGACACCTGTTGGCCCTTGCTACGGGCCCATGACGACAGGAACGTATTTTCTCACGATTAAATCAGACCCGCGAGCACGCGATACCGTGCCGCGAGACCTTCCGAAGGTCGCGCGTCACCTGCCGAAGCGACTTGCACTTGATGCGAGTACAAGGGCTGGAATATATGTATAAATTCTCTCTATCGCCGTTTCTCCCTTCATTTCTCTACGATTTTAAACTCCGAAGCTTACCTCTAACATTTCGTAATGTCAAGTAATAAATTTATTCGGTCAGTGTTTTTAATTTATTTATATATTTGTCTCAGTGGAGTAATCTTATCGCTATTTTCGTTGCACTCGCGTGACTTTGTACTTGTATAGTTAAAACAAATCTGCCTAAAGAATCTTTATCTGCAATCAAAATAAATAGACTTTCCAAGTTGAAAATAAATTTCCAATATGTTTTGTCCATTTGGCTAATAATTGGCAAAAACTGGCGTTTAGTTTTTCTCCTTACTAGAAGAAGGAAAAAAAAATAATACGAATCGCGTGTATCGGAGAAGCGACGAAACGTCGCGGCATTATTTTCATGTCATGACATAGAAAAACTTTTGACGTTTACACGTGATCCCGCGAAGAGAAGTCGACAAAAGGACCCTTTCGATTGCAACTTAAACCCTGCTTGCATGGTTTTCCCGCAAAATCGGAGACGCTTTAGAAAAGCAATCCCAAAAAAAGATCCTACGCTCGGATGAAGAAAACGCTCGGTTGAAGGAGGATCGCGCGTCTGAGTTTGCGGGACAAAGGGAAATTTTCGAAGAGTCTCGTTCGACGCTTACGGACAGGTAAGCGTCTTGAACGCGTCTAGGATCTCCTCGCGCTGAGGCGTGGAAACAGATGTTGACAAACGAAATCGTGGACTCGGAAAAAAAAAAAAAAGAAAGAAAGAGAGATGGAAGAAGAGAAAGGACGTTGGTCGAGGAAGAGAACTTGGTTTCGCGCACCATATGGTGAACCAATGCCAAAAAAGAGAGAAGCGCGGAGAAAGGATCATGTCCTCGACATATGGTCGTTGTGTGGATTTTTTTCGTCCTGTTTCTCGTCATTTTATATCACACCGCATTGCTTACAATTTGCTAACGCGTCCTTCCTTCTTACCTTATATTCCCGAACTGCTGTGACTCTCGTGTCGCACATGCACAAGCCGACCAAACCACACTCGTATCCGTTACTCGGACGCTGAGAAAACATTACGACACTAAGTTAACAAAAGAGAAATTGCGGTCGTCAAAATTAGTATCTGATGATTGCGAAACATTTTATCTTGTAGATATTTTATCGGAGATAAAGAAAAAACCACGCTTAATTTTCTCTGAAACTAATGCGCCGCATAAAATTTCGAAATTTCGGTCTCGTGCACTTTATCGAATATAATTCTTTAAATTCTTAAGAGACTACCAGAAAAATCTAGAGGTAAAAAAACATACGTAACTTTTTGTTTTACACTTTGCTTTTTGCGTTTTTTCATCGGGACCTCATCATAGGAAACCGAGAGAAAACTTGGCTAGACCGGTACCGTTAACATCGAATCGCACCTGTCAGTAGTCAGTCAGAAAAAGAGAGAAAGATGGAATAAAAAGAAACGTAGGTAGGGTGCGCGCTCAGGTGGTTCCCTGATCGAAAATAGGGGTCCCGAAGACGTTTTGTGTTGAGCGCCGTCTTTGTTGTGGAAATTTCGTGCATCTCCCGCACCATGTACTCTCTCTCCTCTACTTACAGGTTACGCGACTTCGCAATGAGACGCGACCCTATCGATCCACAAAAAAAACCTCATAAACCGCCACGGAGAACCTTGAAAATATACTTGTTACGAGGAAGCCTCACGTGTTTCCCTCACGAACATCTATTCAAATCGCGCGGAATGTAATCTGCGAGGTGAATACACCGAATGGCTTATTAAGCTTTTTGTTGTGTCGCGCCGAGTTTCACTTGTTTCTGTACATGATTCTTCGGGAACACTTACATGCGTATAATATTCACGTCACTCACGTATCTCGTTTAATATTTTTGTTACAGATTTCTGGAGATCTCGAAAGAGCGACAAGAAGCCTCTGGCAACGTCGATGGACGTCGTATCGAAGCAACATAGTGTGGAATCGAAAACAACGAAAACACCGGTCACGACAACACCGACAAAGAAGACGACGTTGAATTGAGGCGATTATATTGATCCCTTATTATAGACCCCGTGCACACGTGCGGTTTTCTCAACGTCAAGTTTTGCTACGCGGCGACAACATTATTGTTACTTCGAACACGCAACATACGAGCGTCTCAAAAAGTCGCTTCGAGGTTTTTTTTAGCTTAAAATTGTTACGTAAAGGTTAATTATATTGTTGAAATTATTAGAACCGATTCGAACATCTTAGCTTCAAGATGAAAAAAAAAAAAAAATCTAAAAACACTGCTTAAATTGCATATTAGGTTTTTGTTAATTAAATAGTATGAATTTGAATGTGCGCACGGGGATTTGGAAACTCCATTATGTAAATCAGCGCTATGGAAAGTTGTATATTTATTCTTTCATCTTTCGAGTATTACTATCGTCGATAATTTAGTTGTAGTAATATTTCGTAGGATTAATCGCAACAGACATAAATATTAAGTAAGTTTTTTTGTACATAATTTGCTAAACGCGATTTATGGAGGTTACAGATGGATTCACTGCCATATTAAGACATTTCGTCATTTCGAATTGGAATTAACGCTCAAATTTTTATGACTGATGAGTCATTGTTTTGATTTTCGATGATCCAATCGAAACTATTATTATTATTATTAGTTTTATCTCTCTTCTTTTGCGATAAGTCAGACAGACTTGCGATTTATCGACGTGTTTTCCTCATTAACGAGTCTCAAGCACAATGGCAATGAAGATCCATCGAAAGCCTGAAACGGTTGGTTCCTTCGATGGAGCAACAATGCAGCGCCTCCAAAGACTAACTTGATTGACAATTACGTCAACTCTACTTGCAACTCTCCTCTCTCGTCACGCGAGAGACAAGGAGACAGTCCTATGTACATGTTCGTCGTTTTTAGGATTTAAGAATCTCCTCTAGTCATAGCGAGTAAAATAATAAACTATTTTGCTTTTTATCTCATGTGTGTTGTTTCTTGTTATCTTTTTACTCGTACGACGTTAGAAGCGCTATGTCGCTAAGTTGGTTCGGTAACTTAGTTTTCGAATCCGATATGTTATACGATATGTTACAATCGTGAGTTTTTAATTTATGTTAATTGATGCATAGATGCGTCAACAGATATATAAATTTCCTCACGTGGATTACAAACAGCTGTCTTACGATCTCGCAGTTTTTTTCTCCTCGTCATGTCTTCGAGCACGCGTTTTATAATTTTATAAGAAAATTAAAATGTTTAAAATAATTACGACACAAGTTTCTGCGCATGTACGTTTCTCTCCCGATTGATTTTTGTTGTTAAAAAAATTAACAAAAACGCAGCAGCGACGATCTAAAGACTGATTAGTTAAAACGATAGAGTGTTGTTTCGCGCCGCATTATTATTGCTCTAAAATTGCCTCGCGTGGCTCGCGTCGCGTTATTCTCGCCTCTGCGAGAGGTCTTTAAATTAATAATACGTTACACGCGGACGTTAAAAAGCGGCAGGCAAATTGACATTATCACGATGTTTCATCGACACACGTTCTAGAGAGCAATCGACACACGTGGAAACCGAGTCGAAATCGTCGAAAATTAGCCAGCTGAGCAACACGAATCGCGTTTTGTAACGAACATTCTGTGTAACATCCACCTGGACGCGTGCCGTGGTGATACACTCATGGGGGTAAGACACACAGGGTGATACGAAAAACCATTGCTACCAACTATCTGTATATTGCGCGATGTGTACATATACGTATTGCTATGTATAATATTCGCATAGAAGTTTTTATTCCAAACTAAAACTTTGTAAATAAAAATTTATATTTATTGTATCTATGATATAAAAAAAAAATACCCAACAAAACTGTCTTTCAAACTTGATGTATGCTGATGATTTTGAAATAAAATATGTTTTTACACACACACCGAGTATAAATTCTTCTGTGAAACTAGAACCAACGTATATTTGCGTAGTAAAGCAGCGTGACGTCGAAAAACTATAATTTGTAGTAACAATTTAATGCGCGCAGCGCAACGGTTTTGACAGCACCCCCCATGTAAGTGGGTGGTTCACTTATCTGTACGTCGATACGAGCATGGGGGTGACTCGGCGCGGCCGCTATATGGTTAATTATAATGCGTGATGCACCGCAGGGTCTTCCGAGCCATGGGGGAACTATACGCGCGTAGGTAGGTAGGTAGGTAGGGAAGCAGCTGGTTCACATGGCTTTAGTGGCTGTCATCCTAGCTGGTCATTTCGATAATGTTAACTAATACGCCTCCACCCTCCTCGAAACGCGGAACCGTACTGGCGTTAAATCGAATATCGATGAGACGTTACCTCGCACAAATGGATTCTCGACCGTTACACGTTGCAACGGACATTTAATTAGCATCCATCGAACAGTTAACAGCAAATCATTACAAAGCAAATCATACGCGCGCGTTTTCCGAGAAATTTGCATTAAAAGAGTTTGTTATTTAACACACGCTAAACGCGCCTTCGGACATTCTTGCATATTTTAAACACGTTGTTGCATAAATTATTACACGAAGAATTAAAACTTCATATAAATACAAAATTCTCGAATATTCTATCAGATCGTTCAAAAATCGGTTTTTTTACACATTTATAGGATTTACGATTTTTTTCTCACTTCAACCGATAGGTAATATATCTCCAGGTGCGCTATCAAACGTATACCCTTAATGGGTATCATCGATACATGTGTAGCGCACCCCACTTTAATTGATTGAATTAGTTGTAGAACCAGTTTTGTACATCGGTACAGCGCACACCTGATCGCAACGAAGTTTTGACAGATCGATTTTGACGAATCGCTTGCAATCGCGACCGCGAACGATCTATCAAAGTGTTAGTTTTTTTTTTCCAATGTATAAGAGCTTTATCAATCATTCTTCGGATTTATGCTTCCGTTAAGTATCTCATTGCATCTATCACTTAAATGGAGGGAGCAGACAGAAGATTTTAATTTGAGATACTTCTCAGAGAATTGATGAATTACCAATAATTGTCCGCAATTACTCTCGAGAGATATTCTCCCCGTCGACCCCGATCGATACAACGGTTCGTTCACTTTCCCGCGAAAAATTCCAACTGTCACTCGCGTCCAGACGAGAACGGGTGGTGAGAAAAAAGCGCGTTGCGTCTCGTCGCCGGACGATAATAAATTACGATCTTTCCGGTAGATCGGGACGCGCGCGATTCTAAATATGAAGGGGGTAAATGTCCGATCGTCCGTAAGGATCGCCAAATGATGTTCACAATGGCCAAAACGAACTTGTCCAGTGGCATTTCACTTTCCAACGGTAGCACGCGTCCCCGATCCCGCGTGTGTGCCCACGTACACATTAACTAATGCCATGTAAACACGCGTCCGAGAAGGGCGTCCAGCCGGTGGTTCTAATTAAAGGACATTCATATCGAGAGGTCCACTTTTTTTTTTTGACCCCTTTTACTTTCGGTTTTCGCGAAAACTGGTTCGTTTTGTTCGTTTGGTTGGTCTGGGTCCGCCACGCGAGAGCGTCATTCGTCCGATGCTTTGCATACGCGATTTGACGCTTTTAAATTGTTGCTTCTGCTTTTTATGTCTCCCAACAGTCGACAATTCAAAACGGATGTGATTTGCATAATAGAAAAAAAACAAATACTATATCAATATGTTTGTGAATGACCTCGCGTACAAATACAAAATATTGCATTTAAAGATTGTCGCACTTTGTTCGCGTAATTTTTATCAATTTTTTATGTTATCCAGATTAATGTCATTAATTATATTTTTTTTTAATTTCGGAGACACGTCGCGCGTTCGAGAAAGAGAGAGAGAGAGAGAGTCGCCGAGACAAATCCTTACAATTTCAATCGCCAGTCTTACAATAATCCCATTGACGGTCTAAGTGCGACGGTGGTGATATTATAAATCTGTCAGTGGCACTTGGGTGCTATTCGAGTCACGGCGCTCTCAATGAAGTAACTACATAAGGCACACTCGACTGTTTAAAGACAAAATCGTTTCTTTCTTGCCGCTCGCATTTCACAACCGTTGATATCGATTCGTTTATTTATACCTAACACTTTACGATCAACGGTTGTTTGTGCAAGTGTTTGGATATTGATTTTCACGTCCTGTCGATTAAAACGCATGTTTTTTTTTTTTTTTTCAATTTCTATAAGTCGAGAGAGAGAGAGACGAGATATGTGATATAGGCAAAAAAACTATGTGATAAAAAAACTACATATTATCTCCGTCGTTCGAATTCGTTTTTTGATTATAAGAGACGATAAAAGAGAAACGTTTCTTTTTTTAAGACGCCCGATGAAATTTCAGCCAACGCGGCGGCGTGACTTTCCCCTCGCGACGAAGTTTGATCGATCCCCGCCGATGGATTACGGTTACACGAAGTAAGTGCGTCTGCAGCGTGCGGTTCCGTCCGTGCGGCGGGGATGTCACACGCGGACGAGACCTTTCCTCCGATTCTCTTGGCCGGTGGACCAAGACACCGCAAAAACTGATCGTACCGAGACCGTACCGGGGTTACGGAATCATCGCCGCGCCAAGTTCTTCTCTCACGGTTCCTTGTGAGAATCGTCGCGAATTTGATCGCAATCACAGTCGCAACGGAAACGGCGAACCGGACTATTCTTTCCAGCGAGCGACTCGCCTCTCGACGCGAATTATTGTTCATCTGCCATTACAACGTCCCTGAACTACCATTGACCATATCCAATTTTATGTCCCATTGAATCCACTCTCTTTCAAACTTGATATATCGTATTTTTAACCCGACGTTCTCAATAACGCGTACATCGCATCTGTCTTCATTAAATTTGTGTGATTTTTCGTTTGCGTTTATACAATGTACCGTTACATATGTAATTATTTTTTGTTTTGTTTTACAAGAGAAATGCGTCTCAGAAAAAAATAATATACGTGTATAGTAACATACATTATTACCAAAATGCAAGCGGTCCGTTAGCAATAAAACAAAAAAAAAATAACAATAAATGTGATAATAAGTGATAACACTATCTTAAAGAAATTTTATGTGGCGTTAGCGTGGATGAAAAAATAATAACACACATAATGAAACGAGGCTAGTGACGAAGGAAGATCGCCGGCAGGATGCCTCGCCTAGATCCTGTCTGGAGGCCGAAGAGAGGAGGTCCTTCGAAGCGTGAAATCACTTCCAGCTTGAATATAAAGAGCGAAAAAGCGAATGTCCGTTTGTGTTTCGGTCGTTCCGTGCCACCGCCTCCGCAACTACGCTGGAAATCATCGCGCGCCTGCTAAGCTTCTTCCCTTTGTGCACTGAGGGCTTCGATTACACTCCGTCCTCGGCAGTCCGGAGGAATCGGCCATTAGCGGCAGTTAAGAACACAACGACGCGATTACGGCAGAACGCATTAGCCGGGTGACATCGTCAGAAATTCATTTTTTTTTTTTTTTTTTTTTGATCATTTTTTCTTTATTTGCAATCTTGTTAAATGTAGTGGCCGATTTTACGCAAAGTGTTTGAGAGTGATTTCGCGAAATAACGACAATAATTTGCGCGAGGTGGGAATGAGATGCAATTAAATTCCAAAAGTTACATCAGAGTGAAGTTGATTGGCCGATGAAAATGGACTGACCACGATACACCGGTTCTCTCTCTTTTTTTTGTTTTGGTTTTTTTCTTTAGGTGCACTTTCGATTATATGCTTCGCCGAAAGTGCGGCACATCGAGATAACGGTCTCGGACGAGCGAGCGAAATGAGAGAAGAAGAGCAATGTGGTTTTAAAGTTATCAGGAAGACGAAGCACTGCTGCCGCTCTCCTGGAGAAAAAAGGAACAGTTAGAAATTTGTTGCCAAGCGGGTTAACGTACTTTTATGACTTGTATCGCATGAGTGTATGTCGCATCCGGTTTACTGCGGCTACTCGGAAAAAAAGAATATTACGAAAGCGCTCTTTG